TCCTAGTAGCCCCTTTGCTTTCTGAGAGTACTCTTGTTGCCACCCTACTTTAGTGGCAACTGGTACTTCTAAGGGTGGCACTAGTAGCACACCAATGCTTCCTTTGTTACCTAGCTCCAGTCCCACTTCGTTATACTTACTAGTGGCCAAGACTATGGACACTGCTAAGACATCCTCCTCCCCTTCTCGTGCACCAATTCTTCAAGCACTTCCTTTCATGAGTGGCCCTTCTGCAATACCCTTTTTAGAAGAGGGGTGGACATTTTCGAAGCCCAGCTGGTGAGCTTATTTGATACATCTACACCAACTCTTCCAACCGATAGCGATACTGAGCCACTAGACTTAGCTAACTCTTTATTGGAGATAATTAAAAGCTCTACTACTGCTGAGTCCATCTCCCTTCCTCAGGTAGATTTGGACACTTGTTTAGAGTTGATGAGGACCTTCTTGAGGATTCCATTTGAGGCTTTACATAAACCAACTATCAAGGATGGATTCCTCAAGTGTTTCCAGCTCTTCAAACAATCTAATGTTGCCTTCAAAGGCTATTTAACCCAGGCAGCAGCAACTATTGACTTTTATGTCAATATCTGCCAAATGGCTAAGGCTGTAGAGAAGGAGCTTTTAAAAGACAAGGAGTTTGTTTCCCACATTCATTCTTAAGTTTCAATGCTAAAGGGACAACACTCCTCTGCCTCACAACTTCAAACTCAACTCTTACATAGGAAGGCAGAATTGGAGAATGAGCTAGCAGCAGTTAATCTAGCTTTAGAGTAGAACATAGAGAGGTTGCACACTTCACATTAGGGGCCATCAAGCAGTAGACATGAGATGAATATTTCCATATAACTATTCCCAACACTCTAGAATAGGGAGCTTATTGTATGGGACGAACACTCCAGAATAGGGAGCATATTATATGGGAACGGTTGAAACATTGTGATGAATTTTGGGCCAATTTGTGGCATAATGTACTTAAACTTTTATGAAATGAAACATTATTATTTAACACAAGTGTTTATTGTCTTTACTTAATATTTCCATATAGTATTTAGACTCCTTGTGCCTCCCATATGGTTAGGTAATAATGATTCAAATATTTTCCATTAATCTTCTTGGGATGCACATAGCCATTTAAATTTCTCAAATGGTAGGCTCCTCCAAGCAAGACTTTATGGACTTGGTATGGTCCCTCCTAATAAGGTGACCATTTGCCAAACTTTTGGCTTTTAATTCCCATAGGAAGTATTGTTTTCCAAACCAAGTCTTCCTCATCAAAGCTGATGTATTGAACCCTTTTATTATAACTTTTGGCTGTCTTTTTCTTTTGTAAAAGGATATTATTTAATGCCAAATTTCTGTCTTCATCCATACCTTCTAACTCTAAATGCATGCTTTGATGATATTGATAAGCACTTAAATGGTCTTGGCATTTTACCCTCAACGACTTAATATTGATTTCCACAAGAAGTACTGCATCATGCCCATATACTAAGGCATAAGGAGTAATTCATGTACTTGATCTTTGGGAGGTTCTATAAGCCCACAAAACATCTAACAACAAGTTGTGCCAATCTCTAGGATTGTCTTCAACAACTTTTTGTATCCCCTTTTTTAAGGATTTGTTAGATCACTCTACCTGACCATTTACTTGTGCATAATATAGGGTGGAGTTGACAGGGCTAATTCCATATTCCGCTGCAAAAGCTTTTACTATCTTTCCATCAAACACAGTCATATTTTCCACAGTTATGGTATGTACAATACCAAATGTATAGATTAACTCCTTGATAAAGTCAATCCCCTTTGTTTGATCCATAGTCTTATAAGGCTTAGTTTCAACCCACTTGGTAAAGTAGTCTGTAGCTACTAGAATGAAACAATGTTGTTTCGAAGAAGGTGGGTAAATTTTTCCTATCATGTTCGTTGTCTACCCTCTAAATGGCCAAGGCTTCACTACTGCATGTAGAGCATTTATTAGAACATGCCTTAACATGCCATTCCTCTGACATGCTTGGCAACCCTTTGCATACTCTAGGCAATCCTTAAGAATGGTTGGCCAATAATAAGAATGCCTTCAAAGAAACCATCTCATCTTAACACCAAGTTGATAAGCACCACATATACCTTCATGTACCTCAGCCATGGCAGTCAATGCCTTTTTTAGTCCTAGGCATTCCAACAGAAGACCATATGCTTCTCTTTTATAAAGAGCATTTATAGCGACTCTAGTTTAAACCCAATCAGTTTCGTGTTTTGGATCCAAGTTTCATTGTCTTATATGATTGTTCATGTCCTGTTTGTCCTTATTCCTTATTGAGTTTGGTTATTGGAGTATCTTGGTTGCGTTTGGAACAGGTTGGTTGCTTACTTTTCAAAATGGTTGTTGCCTAGATTTTTGTCTCTACGCTCGAGCGGTATTTGAAAACTCTCAGTACTTTTACAAGTCTGTAAAACTACTAAAAGGGTGCATTCTTCGCTTGAGCGGTGTTGCGCTTGAGCGGTACTTCTTCAGCTCAAGCGATGGTCTTCTATCTGCAAAACTTATGGGAGTTTGTATTATACGCTCAAGCAGTCACATCCTACGCTCGAGCGATCATACATTTTGTGTATGGATGCTCAAGATACACTTCTTATGCTCAAGCATTCTGCACGTATATCAGTTCGTAAAAGTCACTTTTTAGATCACTTTTTCATTTCTCTCTCTCTCTCTAAACATTCTAAAAACCCTAGATCTAGAGCTTCTCTCTCTAAAACTCTCATTCTCTTTGCAAATACACCTTGATCTAGTAGTTTCTCAACCATGGCCCTTTGGGAAAAAGGGTAGAACTTGCGTAGGGCTTCCATTTAATCTGAGCAAATTGTGTTTTCGTCACCGGTGGATTTTCGAATTTTCTCCTCTTCGCTCCACAAGGTAAGGATTCTTGAGCTTCTTTCCAATACTTCGCTGTAGATAGACTTGTGGTAGTTTTTATGGAATTTAAAAATATAGAGTTTTATAGTTGATTTTTTTAAAAGCATATGGGTTGTTTGGGTTTAAATTGTTGGATTTATGCATTATGTTTACGATTTATCATGGGTTGCAAAACACGTATAGGATGTGGATTTGGAAGGTTTGGTATTTCATTTGTAAATTTTGGAATGTTAAAGAGGGAGATTAATGTTGAATAAAATTGGGTTATGTTGTGGTGGTTTATAGGTATTGGGGTTTTGGATTAATATTGATGGATGTTGGCTATTGTTGTGCTTGTTGGGATTTAGAGTAGTGAGGTTTTGTTTTCAAAATAAAGTGAAACTAACTATCTTTTTATAAAAGATGAGAGATTTGTAATGAACGGGAATATGGAATTACCTAAGGATGTATTTCTTGTTTTGATTACGTAATCGGTGTTTAGAGTTTTGTCCTTAGCCATCGGTGGAGAATAGTATTACTTGTTGTTAGATATAGGTTATGAGTACTACTGCGTAGGATGGTATGCTGTTGATTGTGAATGGACATTGTAAATAGATAATTTAATTGTTGAGTTATGGATTATGTTGTTAAAGAGGTAATTGGACCATGTATGAATGTTGTTATGTTATGAGATGGTCGTTGGATAGTATGATTTTGGTGTTCAGTAATTCGTATTGTGTTTTGGAAACATTTTAAAAATGTAAGAAAACCCGTTGTTGAGCGGTGGTGCATGGAGCACATTTTGAAGGAAGTGGGTTAATGTATTTTACTGTTAATAGTCAAGATTGTAATAATTGGATTAGGTGTAGGTATTACACCTGTGTATTATTGATGTTGGCTAGCTTGTTATACTTTCAATGTGATGTTGTTTAGGGGTCTATTTCCCACCGTACTGTGATGTTGTAATACATTTTAAAAGGTGACGCCTTGACAGAAGTTTCCTTGTCCCTTCGGATTTGTGCCCAATAAAGTATGAAAGGGGGTCTGTTTCCCGCCGTATCTAAGCCAGCAAAGCATGGCGCCTTGTGATAGGTTCTTCATTCCTTCCTGTTTATGCCCAGTAAAGTATGACCTGTGGGGCACCCCCTTTCAGGTGAGACCGGTAAAGTGTTATGTGTTATATGTGTTGTGGAATCTGTCATCCATGTTGTATGCCGGTGCAGATTAAATTGGTCATATGTATTATTCTCGGTTATTTTTTTTTTAGATATGTGCGTTATTAGTTTTTCATGTTGTAGTTGTCTTTGAGTCCTTGGGCCCTAGGCTAGAGAAGATCATTGATGTATTGGTCTGTAGATGAGTATGGCGTAGTGATATGTGGAATTGGGTTATGACTTATATATGGGGTTGTGTTTTCAGAACAGATGTTTAAGTGAAATTCTTTTATGTTAACATGGAGGGTTTTATGAAAAGAAGAATGGGGTTTTGAAATGTGTGTTAGAAGATAAATAAGAATTTCTAAGAGAAGCAATGGTTTTATACTGTGTTGAGTAAAGAAGAACTTTTGAGAAAAACATATTTATATGACTATACTTTTGGATATTAACTGTCATATTACTTATATGGTATAGCGTGGTGCATGCATAATCATTTTTATCTCTATGTTGTGATAGGTTAGGATCTTCGGGATCTCTACTGGGCTTAATGTTCATTCCATGTTTTGACAAAAAAAATTCAGGTACTAAGTTAGAAAATTGTTCGGGACTAATGTCTTTTACTTTGCTGGCCATGGGGCCTTTTATTTGTCGGCCGAGAGCCATGTATTGTATAAGGGTAAATCCCTTTTGTTTTTATTTATTGTTATTTATTGTAAGCCTAAGGGTGTTATACCATGTTTTATTTATATATCATCATTGTTGTCGTGAGAGAATGTTACTATTTATTTTGTATTTGTTCCTGAATGGATGCAATTTTTTAAATAATGTAAGGATGTGGTAAAGAATTTGGGTAATAAAAGGCGGGGCATTACAACATTCCCATATACTATGAATTGCATTGACTATAGTTTAAGCTTTCTATTGGCCTTCAAAGAAGAGCCAGTTTAATACTAAATGATTGGATGTCTCCAATCTTCTTCTTCCAAGTGACTTTGATTAGCCTCTACCAATATACCCCATCCTGCTAAAGGTTGTATTAGCTTCTGATATGTTGCTTGACTCATATCTATTTGAGTATTATCCCCTCTTTTGAAATTCGAACCCTTCTGAGCCACATCATTGGCCTTGTCATTCATGAATCTTGGAATGTAAGTTGCATTTGCCACTTGGAATTGGGAGAGCAAATGTACAACAACAACATAGTATGGTAATAGGCTTACACTTGGACATTTAAAGACTCCTTTTACTTGATTAATTACCAATTGAGAATTTCCAAATATGTCAACTACATGAGCTTGTAAACTAATAAGTATTTCAAGTCCCATAACCAAAGCTTCGTACTCAGCGTAATCATCGGAACGAGTGGTTTCATCAATTCTAAAACCATGCCTAGTTTTTGCCCCTTGTAGTGATTTGATTACAATACCAATCCCTACTAGACCATTAGCTTTTGACCCATCAAACCACATCTGCCATGGTTCGAAATCAGCTATGTCAAGATCCATTATTTCTTGACTTTTTGTTTGACATTGATAATTAGCTAAGAAGTTGGCCAACACCTAACCCTTTACTGCCTTTTGGGGGACATATTCTAAGTGGAATTCTGATAAAGCTAAAATCCATTTGCCAATTCTTCCTCTTAATATAGGTCTAGATAACATATATTTAGCCAAATCTATGGTTGCAATTACCAAGACAATAGTAGGAAAAAGATAATATCTTAATTTTATTGTTGCAAGGTACAAGGCTAAACACAGCTTTTCTACAACTGAGTATTTACATTAGCAAGAGTTTAAAAACCTACTAAGGTAACAGACTGCTTGCTCCTTGCCTTCTTCATTGTCTTGGGGTAAGAAAACTCTCAATGATTCTTTAGCTGCAGCAATGTATAACTTCAAGGGTTTGTCCTTCCTTAATGGCATCAGTACTGAAGGTTTGGCCAAATAGGCTTTTATTCCTTTGAAAACAGCTTAATACTCTACTGTCCATGTGAACTCTTCTTCATCTTTTAACTTTAACAAAGAAGGAAAAACTTTAGTTTTCCCAACAATATTCGAAATCAACCTTCAAAGGAAGTTGTTTGGCCAAGAAATTTTCACAATTCTTTCTTACTTGCTGGAGGCTTAGCCTCAATGATGGTTTTGGTTTTGTTCTCATCAATCTGTATTCCCTTTTTGTGTACCACATACCCCAAGAAGTTTTCAGCTGATACACCAAAAGCACACTTGCATAGATTAAGTTTAGCTTAAATTTCCACATTCTTTCGACGGCTGCTGTCAGATGGACTAAATGCTGTTCCATGGATTAAGATTTTACAACCACGTCATTAATATAGCATTCCAAATATCCTCCAACCAAATCATGAAAAATAGTATTCATTGTCCTCTGATATGTTTTTCCAGCATTCTTCAGTCCAAATGGCATCTTAACATATTCGAAGATTCCAATGTTTCCAAGACACCTAAAAGTTGTCTTGTGGACATCCTCCTCAGGTATGCACATCTAATTATAGCCAAAATGTCCATCCATCACGGACAAAACTTTATGTCCTGTTGATAGCAGATCAACTATTGGTATAGGGTACTCATCCTTTGGGGTTACCAAATTCAAATTTCGAAAGTCAATGCATACCCTTAGTTTTCCATTCTTCTCGATCACTAGCACAATATTAGATAGCCACACAACATATCTGGCTATTCTAATAAAACATGCTTTAAGGAGCCTGTAGCTTGCTTTCTGTGCTCCTTTTGGATACAACTAGCTCCACAGTTCAGACTCCTGTGGTTCTGAATCTGATTTCACAAGTACAATGTAAAACAGCAAAAACTCAAAAGAGTCCAAATCTAGCAATTCTTTTGAAAAACCGATGTTTGAATCAAATGTCAAAAATGGATTGTTTTGCTAGATTACAGAGTCGCCACGTAAATGTTTTTGGAAAACTTAGGAAAGCTGAGACTCGTGCCAAAGGCCATTAGTCCGTCATTACCAAAGTGTCTCGGCTCGAGAACTTAGGTATGAGAGGGAAAGGTCATGAATTGAGCACCCCACTCACCCGATCAAAGATCGGCCTCTACTAATCATGATGTGATTTTTATTTATATTATGTGCTCTTGCCCCAGTTATTAGACTAACATTACTATGTGACACACATAAGTATAAACTAATTTACAAAAGCTGGAACACTTTGATTTCATGTTTATTTGAAAATTGTTTTTGATACTCGTCACTTGAAAAGACGAGTTTGTATGCACATTAATCAATTTGTCCCAATTTTTGCAATTAGCCTTCATCTACAGACATTCAAGCAGATATATCAATTAAGCACTTAGCCTCATGGAAAGCATGCTTGACATGGCAACACTAACATGCAATGCATCATGCTAAAACTCAAAATTGCTCACCTAGTACTCCGAGCCAAAACAAAGAAAAATAATTAGAAAATATGCATGTTCCTAACTAACGCAATATGACTTATGCAATGAACACGTTATGTAATTTTAATAGGCTCGGCTATGAACATGGCCTATGATTCCATTCAAGACATGTGATGAATCACGTATTCAAGCAATGAATTTAAACATTTGGCAGGTATAATGAGCCGAACCTTGGATGCATGCAAGACAATGGATGCAAATCATAAGAATGCTAATTTGAAAAATAATGTTCTATACTAACCATCGTAAGCAGATAAGTAAAAGGGAGAAAGACGTGGGGTTGGAAGACATACAACTTATTACATGTTGGCCGTCGCACAAGAGAGTGCGAATCAAAGTCCAAGAGTCCGAATTATTACAAAATCGAATGAATAAATAAGCTAAGCTAATTATCTACTTATTACAAATTCTAATGAATACCAAAGAAATGAATTTAGCTATCTAAGTTAACTAGCTATAACAATTACAAAAAAACAATGGCTACAACAGTATATTAATTAAGTACAACAACAATAATTAATTACAACAATAACAATTAATGATTAATCATCAAACAAGGATGCATAATGCTCTCATGCGCAGCGTCCAGAAACTGCTCTGTTTGCCCAGACCATTCTGTTTCACCTTCAGCCACTACCCTCTGTTTTCTGCAAAACATGATGCTGACCAAACATTGATGGTCAGCCGACCCCCAATGAAGCCCGACCGGGCCCAAATAAAGTCGGTCATGCCTTAATTTTATGCGAAATCCTGTTTTTGTGCTCTGAGGTGAAAACAGTGCAGACGGAGTTTTATAAGCTCTGTTTGTCCCTCTCACACTCCTCTGTCATGGGAAAGCCTCAAGAGAAGGTTGGAATCATTTCCAAAACCATCAATGAGCAATTTGTTTTCTTGATGATTTCGGCCGCAATTTGAACAAAATTCAATGAATGCAAAGACTAACAACCATCCCTTCCCCTTATCATGGAATGAGCTCAAAAGGGGGGAGTAAAGACGCTTCAAGGGTCGTCAAAACACCCTAAATTGGTGTGTGACGACTCTTGACACAATTGACTTGCCACAGCGTCTGGCCATAACTCATTTTCTTTATGTGGGTTGGTTCTTTTTAAGCCAAATTTATTAGTCTTTGCCATTCTTTAACCCATTTGTCCAAGATGATTGTTACGTCCACTAAAGATTATATCCACTAAGTGAGAAACATGTCAAACAGGAAGTGATTCTCAACATGAAAAAGAGACTATACCATTGACAATGAACCTGTGTGGAGATTAAGCCGTTAAGCATAGATTTCTAGTTCATGTTTTGAATAACTATCAACCGATTGAAACAACTCTCAAATGAAAGAAATGAATGGTAAGTTGATTATTAAAATCAGGCTCTTAAACATGGAAATTAAACAAAGTAAGGTCAAGAACAACATGTAACAAGCTATGTATAAGGACTTGCGATACAATAAATGAACTAATTAAAGCTTGCACCAATTAAGCAACCTAGGACAGCCCTAAAAAAGCCCCTAATAGGCAAAAAACAGTGGCTCAAAGTGCATGAAAAGAGCCCAAAAAGCTAAACAACAAGCAAAGACAACAAGTCTAGTAAAAAAGAACAATGAGGGGTGGCTAACCCTTCTACTTTTGAAACCTCAAAGCATGATTTTCAGCCTCTTTTAAACTCTGAAAATCAATTTAGAAAGCAAAGAAAAGGGTGTAAAAAAAACAAGTTTGAGCTATAGGTGAATAGGTGAAGGTGTAAAAAAGAGTGTTAACTCTCTCTACCCTTTGGTAGCTCTCCAAACCCAAGCTTAGACACTTGAAAGAAGATCAAAACAATACAAAATACAAGAACTAGATAGCAAGAGATAGCAAAGAGAGCAAGAAAAGAGATTGCAAGCTTATACCTCTCAAGAAAGGTAAGCTCTTTGTTGTGAATCAAACTAAGTCCAAGCACATTCTCAAGCTTGAATTGTGATGCTCAAGGCTCAACCAAGCTTCCAAGGCTAAGGTGAGACGGTGTATATGGTGTATGGATACAGGTTAAAGGTGGTAAGCTTGCTCAAAGGTTTCTTGCACAAGAAGAAGGAGCTCTCAAGAAGGTGTATAAGCTTTTTAGAAATTCTTCAACCCTCAAAATAGAAATACAACTTCGTTTTTATAGAATTTGAGCAAAAGAGGTCATAAATATCTTCAAAAATGGATAGTTGGTGGGCTCCCGCCCAGAATAGTGTTTCTCGCTACCAAGGCACGACCGGCTCTCAATGAGGCACGGCCGGGCCTCAATGTGATCCCCTGTCTCCCTACTTCAGACTCAACACAAGGTGACACAATGTGTAAAAATGGATCTCTGAGGTACAAATAGTGGGAATATGGAAGGTTTTGGATTGTTTCGGAGCTTAAACATAGCCCCCTCGTCGAGACCTCGAACCACACACAACCCTACTTTCATCATCGAGCATACTGGGTAAAGCGCTCGAGCCTTGCGGGCAGTCAAAAATGGGGTGTCTACAGTTGCCCCTCTTTGATGGAGCTCGAAGTCATAAAGTGACGTGAGTGAATGCAAGGCTTGGGCAAGAAATCAAGATATAAATGCAAAAATTGAACTCGAGGGCAAAGCGCAAAAGCGAAATGCAGCAAATAACTTATGATCATGCAATGAAACATTTGAACGCAAATAACAAGTGATGAAACAATGCCACAAGCAAAGCAATAATGCGACAATGAATGAAAACGTAAATCAGAGCAAAACAGATCCTACCGTGTCTCACACAGAAAGAAGTAAATAAATGGATATGTCTCACGTGGAAAGGACAAAGAAAGCACAAACCAAACTACGTCTCATGTAGAAAGGATGTAAGAAAATGCAAACCTAACTATGCCTCATGCAAGAAGGGTGAAGGGCGACGTAACCATCGGGTGCACCTGAGGTTTTCAACCGAGATCCTAACGCGTCTCACGCGAGAGGAGGAAGGGTGGTGTTAACAAACAGGCACGCCCATTGTATATGTTTCACGTGGAAAGGACAAAGAAAGCACAAACCAAACTACGTCTCATGTAGAAAGGATGTAAGAAAATGCAAAC